AAAAGATCCATCATCCTATGTTGATCCTAGCTTTCTAGGGTCTTGGGAAGGGTGGACTGGATACAGACCTAACCTTTGGCATTTTTTACACAAATTGGCTGCTCTCAGACTCAAGTCCATGTTCTCATGCTTGTCAGCTCGTGACTCTACCATTGCACCAAGTAATGGCTTTTATATTATCCCAAATATTCCTTTTCTATTAGTTAAATGAACGCTTTCTCAAATGACAGATCCTGTACATGATGTATCAAGTTAATGGGTATTTTCTTTCTAAGACAGTTAGGCAAGACAAAAGTCTTCCTCAGAGCTGGTCAGATGGCTGAGTTGGATGCTCGAAGAGCAGAGGTGCTTGGCAATGCAGCTAGAATCATTCAAAGACAAATCCGTACATATATTGCTCGTAAAGAGTTTATCTCCTTACGGAAGTCAGCTATTCATTTGCAATCTCGGTGGCGAGGTATATTCTTTTAGTTTGTCATAGCACATATGGTCTCAGTAATAGTTGCTTTTGCATATCTCATTGAACATTTCACTATTGGTACCATCTGGATAATGCATGGAGCTTGAAACTTGCATTTGATATGATTAAACTGACATATTGGTCTTAGATATTAGTATGAAGTGTGACAATTGCCCACGAAGGCTCAACTCAACTAAACTAAGCTGTCTCCCAACTATATTGGGTTGGCTAAGTCACAAAAGAATCCAGTTGTTATACCCATGCAGATATTGTTATTTGGTTGGCTAGAGTCATCCGAAAGGACTCCTTGTTACATCCATGCAGGTATTGTAATTCCAAAGGTTATTCTGTTCAGATATTGTAAGCTTCATTCTTAAAACAGTGACCTGATCAACCTTCAGATTACAATATCTGCATGGATAAGGGCAAGGTTTGAGAAAAGTGTCTTGATGTTTACACCTGAAAGTATAAAGCACATCGATGCTTATGCCCCATGCATCTAAAGGCCCTGGTGCCTTGTCCCACACCTCCACATTATTAAATATTATTTCAGTTCATTTATAAAATAAGATGTAAAACATATAAAATACATTAAATGTGACAGCTAAATTATCTACTAGCACACAAGATTAAGCATTTGAGAGTTTTTTATTTATTTATTTATTTTTTTTATGGCAAATCTCTGAGGACTGAGGAGGCAATTTTTTTCCTGGAGAATTGAATGTTTTTGCTACGTGGTTTGCTGTCCTACGTTACTATAGCTTTATAAAGTACTTCAGTTGGTTTAGATCAATTGTTAATTAGTATGCTCTTTTTTTGTAGGGAAAATGGCTTGCAAACTGTATGAGCAGTTAAGACGTGAAGCAGGTGCTGTGAAGATACAGAAGAACTTCCGTCGATATACTGCCAGGAAATCCTACATAAGACTACGGTTATCAGCAATTACATTGCAGACTGGCCTAAGGGCAATGACTTCAAGGGATGAATTCAGATTCCGGAAGCAAACCAAGGCCACAATCATTATCCAGGTAGCATTTTTCTTAATTTCTTGAAATAGTTTTACAAACATCATATGGTATTTTTAAAATTAAAAACTTTACATTCCAAAYGTTTTGAAAGTTGGTTTTAGAATTTTGAAAACTGAGTTGTTGATCACAGTTCTTCATGACTTCCAGGCTCGGTGGCGTTGCCACAGGGATTATTCATACTATAAGAGTCTTCAGAAGGCTGCCCTCATTTCTCAGTGTGGTTGGAGACGAAGAGTTGCTAGGAGAGAGCTCAGAAAACTCAGAATGGTTTGATCTAAATCCCTTGTGCTTTTTCACATGGTCCATAGCTCCATATTTGTAATGTATCATTTGGTCATAAATATAATAATAACTGGTAAGAATTCGTGGAAATATGCTCAGGCTGCTAGAGAAACAGGGGCACTCAAAGAAGCAAAAGACAAACTAGAAAAACATGTAGAGGAACTTACATGGCGTTTGCAGTTTGAGAAGCGATTAAGGGTAGAGATGCTTTACTTTATGTGCTGAAGTTCAGGTTATTCTGGTTTTGGAACTAGAAAGTTCTCTTACAGTATGTCTTAAAACATAGCTTTGCTTTGTTCAATTTGAAACAGACTGATTTGGAGGAGGCCAAGGCCCTAGAAATTTCCAAGTTACAAGATTCTTTGAATGCTATGCAAATACAAGTAGAAGWAGCAAATGCCAAGGTTATTAAAGAACGAGAGGYAGCCAGAAAAGCTATTGAAGAAGCACCACCAGTCATTAAGGAGACCTCAGTTATAATTCAAGATACAGAAAAAGTTGATGTATTAACTGCTGAAGTTGAAAAGCTAAAGGTAGACCCACTGAGTTTGAATCAGTTATACTCTATATATCTTATTGTTGCATCGTTTCCTATGAGTTTTGCTACAAAGAATTGTTATTAACTAAGGCTGCAGGAATGATTGTACCCTCCATACAATTTGCTGAGTGCTATATACATAGGTTGTGGATATGGGGATCAGTGGAGATATTATTTGCTTTTAATCTAATAGTAAATACAAAAGTCCATTCCAGTTAATGCATGTAATCAATCTCAATGGTTCTTGCAAGTTGCAAATTCTTGAGAAAAAGGACTGGATTTGCTATTAAATAGGCATATAGAAAAAAAATCTGAATCTGTAGAAGCATGATAGAATTGCAGAATGAAATCATGTGGCTTGGACTTACTATTTTTTTGTTATTCCTTAAGGCTTTACTGCTATCAGAAAGGCAAACAACACATGAGGCCAAGCAATCTTATGCCGATGCTCAGGCTAAAAATGAGGAGCTGATAAAGAAGCTTGAAGATGCTGAGCGAAAAGTCGATCAACTTCAGGATTYTGTTCATAGGTGTGTAGCATAATATGAGAAATGGAACCATCAAGAAATTTTATACTTATTTCCGTTTGTTATGTTAACATCTGAAGTAGTGCTTCAGTTCCTTGAAGCTCACATAAATTGGTTACCTTTCCCTGGAACCCCCCCCCAACCTTATCTGTATCCTACTTGTATGCACAGGTCCTAACCATGCTACCATGTCATATTTTAGAAACTTTGTGTTGATAGTTTTCTTAATTTTGCTAGATTTGTCATTTTCCATCTTGCACCAAGAGTGGAGATGTGATCAAATTTCTGTGTCATCTTCATGTTATTATATGTTTGTTTCAACTCCTCTAGTTTTTCTGAACTATTGGCAAGCTTCATTATATGGTAGAAATTGACACCTCCTACCCCATGTGCATAAGCGCACATGYGTGTGGGCACACAAGAAAATCTGTTCAGAACAAAAGATTAACCAATACTTGGGATGATGGATGAGTTTGGAGCGCTCTCTCTCATTCTCATTCTCTTTCTCTCTCTGCTTGAGAAATTGAATTTTTTTTCCTGGTTTACTTCTTCCCTTATTCAGGCTTGAAGAGAAACTTTCAAATATAGAGTCAGAGAATCAAGTACTTCGTCAACAAGCACTGGCTATTTCACCAACTGGAAAAGCATTATCTGCTGCACGTCAAAAGATGACCATCATTCAGGTATTTATGGTATAACAAGTTATACATTTTCTAGAGCCACAATTATGTGGTCATTGAACTGTATATTGAGATTTCTATTGTTAATTGACAGAGGACCCCAGAGAATGGAAATGTTCCAAATGGAGAAACAAGGGTGGCATCGGTAAGTTGAAAAACAATTTCATTCTTGGCATACTTACGAGTGGAAATATAACCAATATATTTTCTTTCCCTTCTGTTAATTGTCCCAGGACTTGAGTCTTGCTGTATCAAATCCACGGGAGCCTGAAACTGAGGAAAAACCACAAAAGTCACTTAATGAGAAGCAGCAAGTAAGAGATTTTGAAATTTACCCCACCTCCAAAAAATGARAAAGAAAGAAAATGCCGAACTATTAAATTCACGCTGCATAGACATTTCACATTCTTTTTAAGGTCTCATTTTCCTTGTAAAAATTTTCTCTTCTCATTTGATTTCCTGGCACAGGAGAACCAAGACCTACTGATAAACTGTATTTCACAAGACCTGGGGTTCTCTGGGGGAAGACCTGTTGCTGCTTGTATTATATACAGATGCCTTCTTCATTGGAGATCATTTGAAGTTGAAAGAACAAGTGTTTTTGACCGTATTATTCAGACAATAGGTTCAGCTATAGAGGTAGTACCTCAAATTCTCAGCGTGAAAGTGTTTCAGAATCTGTAGTTTGGTGGGTAAATTAGGCTGCATTTTGCATGCTTTCAGAGAATTAAATTTGATGAATTTTATGTTTCTAAGAATCACTTTAAGTTTGATTTTATGAAAAATGTTGGAACTAATTCTAAGAATTGTTTCTTTGAAGTTAAAAAATTAGCTTMAAAAAAGAATAATTGTTGCCCCAGAACTCATTCTTCAAATAGTGATTCTTTGGAGCAATATTTTAACCAAACATAGCCTGAGCATTATCATCATTTAACCCTCTATACCCCAGACTCTGATTTGGGGTTGGAGGAAATTTTGGTCAAGCACATCACAGTAATCCTATTATACCACACCACAAGTAATTAGGTTACTGATTTTCTAGTATTCCAATGTTTTTTGATGAATAGTAGTATTCCAATGTTCTTACGCCATTTCTGTTGATACTGGGTTTTCATTGTCACTGAAGGCTCAGGATAACAATGATCTTTTATCCTATTGGTTATCCAATTCATCGACATTGTTGTTGCTTCTCCAACGCACACTTAAAGCAAGTGGTGCAGCTAGCTGGACCCCACAAAGGCGGAGGTCAACATCAACTTTATTTGGGAGGATGTCTCAAGTAAGAACTAATCATTTGTTTCATTTTTGTATATGTATATTTGTCTTTGAATTCTTACACCTTGCTGTTCTAGGGCCTTCGAGGATCTCCACAAAGTGGATTCTCATTTCTTAATGGTCGAATGCTTGGACTGGAGGACTTATGTCAAGTAGAAGCCAAATATCCAGCATTGTTGTTTAAGCAACAACTCACAGCCTTCCTTGAGAAGCTATACGGGATGATAAGAGATAATCTGAAGAAAGAGATCTCTCCCTTGCTTGGATTATGTATTCAGGTATTGCTGTAAACTTGTCACACGGGCACATGTTTTTTTCTTTTTCAAGAAGTATGATCCTTTTATGTAAGTGAATTTGTTTCCTGGAATTAGTATTGAGTTAATTATAAATACTGGCTTCAAAATAACTCAATGATGGGCATAGAGTCTATATCTTATGGGCTTGTCGCTTGCTATATTTTCTGGAAACAATGGAGTATCACTAGGGGCTTGTGACAATAACTGATTGTATGATGTATCTTCAGATAATCAGCTTTAACATGCATTGGATGGAGCTTGAACCGTTCAATGTGAACTCTTTTTTTTTTTGTTTTTTTTGCACTTTGCACAAGAACCAGAACTATCTAATAATAAGAATAACTAGAAAGGCAAAAAGGTAAACTGATAAGCATTGTGTGTAACTGTGTATGACATGAAGTTGATGCTTAGATTCCATGTACAGACAAATGGGCTTTAACACATGTTTTTCCTAATATGGTTCTTATTTTTCTTGCTGATGTTATTTATGATTGTCTTGCATCCTTTTGGTTGTGCTGCTGTACCTTCCTGGGTTAACTCGTTGAAATTTATTTCTTTGAAATGATACAGGCACCTAGGACTTCAAGGGCAAGTTTAGTGAAAGGACGGTCACAGGCAAATGCTATTGCTCAACAAGCTTTAATTGCTCATTGGCAATGCATTGTGAAAAGCCTAAACAATTACTTGAAGACTCTGAGAGCCAACTATGTGAGTTCTGAGAGTTCAGGATATGGCTATGCAATTAACTTTACCTTGGAACAACTTTGTCACTCTCATGCACCTTCTGGCCTTGCAGGTTCCCCCATTCTTAGCTCGAAAAGTGTTCACTCAGATATTTTCTTTCATAAATGTTCAACTATTCAACAGGTATATGTGTTCAGATCTTGTCATGGGTTCCTAAATCATTTGGGTGGATGACATTTCCATCAGAGTTTTCATTATTATTGTTCAGTATTGTTGTCTTAATTACATTCATATCTGCAGCCTTCTTTTGCGTCGTGAATGTTGCTCATTTAGCAATGGGGAGTATGTGAAAGCAGGATTGGCTGAGTTGGAACAATGGTGTAATGAAGCTTCTGAAGAAGTGAGTATCAATGAAGCCCCTATGATTTTTGTATTTTTTTTCTCCCGCAATCCTTTTAATGAATGTTTATGACATTTGGGTTACACTCAGTATGCAGGCTCAGCTTGGGAAGAACTRAAGCATATCAGACAGGCAGTTGGCTTCCTGGTGTGACTTCATTTCTTATTTCATATTCTTTTTCTTGATGCTCTTGTATACGTTGCTAAACGCTCTTTTTACATTTTTTGAAACCCAGGTCATACACCAAAAGCCCAAAAAGACCTTGAATGAAATAACAAAGGACCTTTGCCCGGTGGGTGATTCCTTTCTCCAGAACTTTCCAACTTTTACTAGATTTCTGTCATATTTCAAATTTTCCAGATTGAACATGCTTTTTATTTTTATTGTTGCTTCTTTTCAGGTGCTCAGCATACAACAATTATACAGGATTAGTACAATGTACTGGGATGATAAATATGGTACACACAGTGTATCTTCAGATGTGAGTTTTTTTTTTCCCAATTGGTTTTGAATTTTACTGAAATTTGAGACACTATTGATGACACTTTCAGTTGCTGCTTTGATGGGTAAATCTTGTGTGTGTGTGTGGCTTCCATGATGGGTAAATCAATTGAATATCTTCTCTCATCATAGGTTATTTCAAGCATTAGAGTCCTGATGACTGAGGATTCAAACAATGCTATCAGTAGTTCTTTCTTATTGGATGATGATTCAAGGTAAGTTTTCCAAAACATGCTACAGCAGTTTTTGATCTCTATTATTCTCCAGTCTTCAATAGACCAATCACAACTCATTTGCTCTTTTTTTTTATTTTTTTTTATCTTTCTCAAACAATGCAGCATACCATTCTCCGTGGATGACATATCCAAGTCAATGCAACAAATAGACATAACTGATATTGACCCTCCACCTCTGATGCGTGAAAACTCGGGTTTCGTGTTCCTGTTACAGCGTTCAGAGTGATGGTGATCATGTTGTCCAATCCCAGCTCCCCGTGCATTTTGCACTTCCATGAGCGAGTTACTACAACCTGTGCATATAATCTTAATTCTCCCACATATCATGTATTTATATATTTTGTTCATTCCCGGGGGCCGTCCTTCACGTCCTATCGAGAAATGAGGCATTCATTTAGAGCCCATAATGCTCCAAGCCTGATACAGTCAACTACAGAAAACATACGCCAGGGTTTAGCAAGTTGTCAAACCAGATTGGGCTTGTTCAGATGAATCAGATTGTTGCTTGTTGGGTTCTGTTCAGTGCATTTCAAATGTTATAGTAACCACATTTCCAGGCGAATTTCTGTTACATGTGAAAGCTTTTTGTAATATTCATATTTATTCATTTTAGACGGTCAGGTTTCAGGTATTTTGTAAATCATCCGCACAGTGCGGATAGCAGGTTATCCTAGGCATGTTACCTTAGCTTCTTGTGAGTTGTGACCGTCTTTGTTATTAGTTGAAACTTGAAAGTTGAAACATCCACTATTTTGTGGTACTATGTTTGTTGAACGAAAAAACAAGATTATTAGCTGGGTTTGTACTTTGTAGGGCAGAAGCTAAAGCCTAAGCTATTTGAATTTCAAATAATAAAAATAGAGGTAAAAAAGGAAAACAAAAAAAAAAAAACACAGTTTTCAAATGGATCTATAATTCTATACCACTTACTAATGTACGGAAAGGTTGGCGAACAGCAATAAACTCAGGGTTCTTTATCTTTTGTAATTCCTCGAGTCAAGGCTGGTTTATGTTTCTCTAGTCCATAGTTTGAGGATTGCGAATTGAGAGCTAAAAAGATTGCTGTGCACCTCTGCTCTGCAATCTGAAGCAGCTGTTTTCAAAGAAAGGATTATTCATGCTTTGGATCTTGAATTGGATTACATCTATGCCGAGAGTGATTCTCAACAAATGATCATTTTTTTGTTGGAGGAAAATCCTCAGCCTCCGTAGCTAATCCTTCATCCTTTTGCCACATGCAGAAGACTCCTCACTCCTCAGAATTCACTCATATAGTCATCACTTTTGTACTATTTGTAACACTGTTGCCCACAAGATAGCAATTTATGCTTTTGCTTCATCTCTCATGTCCATACGTGGTGGTCACTCTCTCCTATGTTTCTATCTGATACCATTGTAAGGAGAAGCAATGCGTTTCTCATAGTTGATTGTGGTTAACGAATTTTCAACCCATTGGACTTTAAAATAAGATCTTAAAATCTGTATTCTTAAGTTAACACCTTCCAAAGCAGAAAGAACAGCTTTTAACAAAACAGGACACAGRATAAGATTATGGCCAAAACAAAAGCTTATCCAACCAAACACCCCCTCAATATTACTCCGAGTTGTCTCGGAGGATAGCACGACCAGTGCAGAGATACTGGTCAACGGTGTAGACGATCGGACCCGGTTTTGGCTGGATTAGTCGGGCCGCCTGGTCCAGGTGGTAGCCCTATCATCTACGACAGGACTAGCAAGGAAGTCTGTGAGGGGGAAGAGTTGTTGGTAGAAATCAGCTGCTCAATTTGGAGTGGCGTTGGAGCCACTACGATTCAAGGTGGAGCCACTTTTCATCCGATTACTGTGGTCCCATTTTACATCACTTCATCCGATTCAAGGTGGTGCCACATCAATTTATCAACGGCCATGATTCACGGTTTTTTCCCAGCGCTACTCCAAATGGAGTAGTTGATTTTGAGCGTGGAGAAACCAAAAAAATCACCGGAAGCAAGAGCAAATAAGCGAGAGATAAGAGAAGAGGGTTTGGCATTTCTTCTCGTCATTGAATTCAGGTMACTGTTGACCTGAAAAAAATGATGTAATGTATGGGGATTAAGAAAGAGAAGAGAAGTTCTTCCTCAACATCGCCCTGTGCTAAACTCAGAGCTGCATACCACGATTGCTTCAACAGGTAGGTTGCCCTCTTTTTCTTTTTCTCTTCCTCTCTCTGATCTGTTTATGGTCGGTCAGTCGTAATAATGATGATAAGTAGGTGGTACTCGGAGAAATTCTTGAAGGGTCAGTGGGACAAAGAGGAATGCGTCTCTGAGTGGCAGAAATACAGAGCTTGCCTCTCTGTATGTTTCTTTCGTTCTTTTCTCTTTTCCATCTAAAACTCAATATTTGAATGTTTAGGTCGTTTTTTGTTTCAAGAAATTGCTAAAAATGATCCCTTTTTTCATGACTCAAATTGCATTTGGCAGCAACATTTGGAAGATAAGCACCTGAGCCGCTTCTTGGTAGCCGAATCTATTTTCTTCCCTTGTGTTCAAGATGATTCGGGCCGTCCAACTGATGATACTACTCCAGGCTTTTCCTAGCAAAGGATGCTCCAGCTGAAAAGGAAAAAGAGGGGGAAAGGGCAAACAAAAGGTGCTTGCGATCAAGTCCGTTATGTGCCTCAGTTTATGGCTTTTGATGAGTAGTAAGAAGTGTATGCTGAAGTCTAGAGATCCATGTTCTCTCCAATTGTTATTGTTATTTTCRTTTATTTGGATTCTATGTTGCATTTCGACAAGTATTTGGATCGAATTTTTGTCTGGGTCAGAAAGTCTTCAAGCTTCTTAATGTAAATCTTCTTTTATATGTACAAGCTAGGGAAATATTAGATCTACAGATTAAAATGCATAAGCAATTCTTGATTGC